CCCAAAATGGGGATGGAGAACCTCAAAATGGGGGGGCATCAGCCCAAAATGGGGGGGCAGGACCTCGAAAATAGGGGGAGGAACCCAAAATGGGGGGCAGGACCCCAAAAGGGGAGGGGCATCAGCCCAAAATGTGGGGCCAGCACCTCACGATGGCCTGGTTGAACTTGGACTCGATCTCCCCCAGGAGCCAATCGAAGGCCTCCCCGCTGAGCCGGAACTCCTCCACCATGCGGCGGCTGCAGAGGGTGGAGCGGAGGTGGATGTTGAAGAGGAGGGTGGCGTTTTCCTGGGCCTGGCGGCTCAAGGGGTCCTCCCCGTTGACGATCACCAGCTTCCGGCTGAGCTCCTTCACCCCTGGGAGAAGAACGAGGGGCTGAAGGTCCCTGAGGAACCCCAAGTTCCATAAAACCTTCTCGGGGGGCAGCAAGAGCTCCCAGAACCTTCACGGAGGTCATCAAGGCCCTCAGAACCTTCTTGAGGGTTCTCAAGACCTCCCAGAACCTTCCTGAGGTCCTCTCAGAACCTTCTTGGTGGTCCTCAAATCCCTCAGAACCTTCTTGAGGGTCCTCAATTCCTCTCAGAACCTTCTTGAGGGTCCTCAACTCCTCTCAGAACCTTCTTGAGGGTCCTCAACACCTCCCAGAACCTTCCTGAGATCCTCCCAGAACCTTCTCGGAGGTCCTCAAGTCCTCCCAGAACCTTCTTGGGGGTCCTCAAGACCTCCCAGAACCTTGCCGAGATCCTCTCAGAACCTTCCTAAGATCACCCAGAACCTTCTTGGAGGTCCTCAAGTCCCTCAGAACCTTCTTGAGGGTCCGCAAGACTTCACAGAACCTTCCTGAGATCCTCCCAGGCCCTTCTTGGGGGTCCTCAAATCCCTCAGAACCTTCTTGAGGGTCCTCAAGACCTCCCAGAACCTTCTTGGTGGGCGTCAAGTCCCTCAGAACCTTCTTGAGGGTCTTCAAGACGTCCCAGAACCTTCCTGAGGATCCTCAAGACCTCCCAGAACCTTCTTGGTGGACGTCAAGTCCCTCAGAACCTTCTTGGGGGTCCTCAAGACCTCCCAGAACCTTCCTGAGATCCTCCCAGAACCTTCTTGAGGGTCCTCAAGTCCTCCCAGAACCTTCTTGGTGGTCCTCAAGTCCCTCAGAACCTTCTTGGGGGTCCTCAAGACCTCCCAGAACCTTCCTGAGATCCTCCCAGAACCTTCTTGAGGGTCCTCAAGTCCTCCCAGAACCTTCTTGGTGGTCCTCAAGTCCCTCAGAACCTTCTTGGGGGTCCTCAAGACCTCCCAGAACCTTCCTGAGATCCTCCCAGAACCTTCTTGAGGGTCCTCAAGTCCCAGAGAACCTTCTTGAGGGTCCTCAAGACCTCCCAGAACCTTCCTGAGATCCTCCCAGAACCTTCTTGAGGGTCCTCAAGTCCCAGAGAACCTTCTTGAGGGTCCTCAAGTCCTCCCAGAACCTTCTTGGTGGTCATCAAGTCCCTCAGAACCTTCTTGGGGGTCCTCAACACCTCCCAGAACCTTGTCGAGATCCTCTCAGAACCTTCCTAAGATCACCCAGAACCTTCTTGAGGGTCCTCAACACCTCCCAGAACCTTCCCGAGATCCTCCCAGAACTTTCTTGGAGGTCCTCAAGTCTCTCAGAACCTTCTTGAGGGTCTTCAAGACCTCTCAGAACCTTCCTGAGATCCTCCCAGAACCTTCTTGAGGGTCCTCAAATCCCAGAGAACCTTCTTGAGGGTCCTCAACACCTCCCAGAACCTTGCCGAGATCCTCTCAGAACCTTCCTAAGATCACCCAGAACCTTCTTGGGGGTCCTCAAGTCCTCCCAGAACCTTCTTGAGGGTCCTCAAGACCTCTCAGAACCCTCCTGAGATCCTCCCTGAACCTTCTTGGTGGTCATCAAGTCCCTCAGAACCTTCTTGAGGGTCCTCAAGACCTCTCAGAACCTTCCTGAGATCCTCCCAGAACCTTCTTGGGGGTCCTCAAAACCCTCAGAACCTTCTTGAGGGTCCTCAACACCTCTCAGAACCTTCCTGAGATCCTCCCAGAACCTTCTTGGGGGTCCTCAAAACCCTCAGAACCTTCTTGAGGGTCCTCAAGACCTCTCAGAACCCTCCTGAGATCCTCCCTGAACCTTCTTGGTGGTCATCAAGTCCCTCAGAACCTTCTTGAGGGTCTTCAGGACCTCCCAGAACCTTCTTGGTGGTCATAAAGTCCCTCAGAACCTTCTTGAGGGTCCTCAAGACTTCCCAGATCCTTCTTGAAGGTCTTTAAGTCCTCCCAGAACCTTCTTGGGGAGGTCCCCACGTTCCCCAACACCTTCCTAGAGGTTCTTGGGGTCCTCCTGGTCCCCCAGAACTCCCAGAACCCCCGATATCGGGGTTCCCCCAACCTCCCCCCACCCCAAATTTGGGGAGGGGACCCCCCAGACACTCACCCTCCACCACCTTGACGGGGTGCAGGTCCGAGGGGAGGCGGGAGTTGATGTGGAAGATCTTCTGGGCGTTCCAGATCATGCGCAGGAGGTTACAGGGGAGCACCACCTGTGGGGGGGGGACAACCCCCAAAACGGGGGGGTCAGCACCCCAAAACGGGGGTCAGGAACCCAAAATGGGGGGTCAGGAACCCTAAAATGGTGGTCAGGACCTCGAAAATAGGGGGAAGAACCCAAAATGGGGAGGGAGAACCTCAAAACGGGGGGTCAGGAACCCCAAAATGGGGGTCAGCACCTCAAATTAGGGGGGCAGGACCCCAAAATGGGGGGTCGGGACCCCAAATGGGGGTGCTTCAGCCCCAAATGGGGGTCAGGAACCCAATATAGGGGGGCGGGAGCTCAAAACTGGGGGGAGGACCCCAAAATGGGAGGGCAGGACCTCGAAAATAG